AAAAACACCCAGCACGCCCCTGCGGGCGGTTTATCCTTCAAGCTCGGATCCTCTACCAGAGGCCTGGGAGCTTGAGGGTCCTGCGCAGTATCTTAGCTGTTCCCAGGACTGCGCTCTTCTGGACAGAGATCTCCGATGTTGTTCCCGGGATCTGCTGGAGCCACTTGCCTATCTTGGGAGTCACCGCACCTAGTGCTCCGATTACCACGGGGACCACCGTTACCTTCACCCTCCACATCCTCTCGAGCTCTTCTCTGAGCCCTTGGTATTTCTCCAGCTTCTCGTGTTCCTTCTTCCTGATATTGCTGTCATTCGGAACCGCTACATCGATCACTACGGCCGTCTTCTTCTGTTTGTCTACCACCACTATGTCCGGTTGGTTAGCCACCACCATTTTGTCCGTCTGTATCTGGAAGTCCCACAGGATCTTAGCTCGGTCATTCTCCACCACCCTTGGGGGCATCTCCCATTTTGACCTCGGGACTTCCAGGTTATACTCGGCACAGATGTTCCTGTACACTATGCCGGCCACTTGGTTATGGCGTTCCATGTATGCCTTGCCTGCTAGCATCTTGCACCCTGCTGTTATGTGCTGGATTGTCTCTGGGGCATCTTTACACAGCCTGCACCTGGGGTCTTGCCTGGTGTGATAGACCCCAGCCTCTATGGATCTTGTGCTCAGAGCTTGTTCTTGTGCTGCCATGATTAGTGCCTCTGTGCTGTCTTTCAGTCCAGCTTTGTCCAGCCACTGGTAGGATTTCTGGATATCAGCCACCTCCTCTATCTGCCGGTGGTACATACCGTGCAGGGCTCTGTCCTTCCATGATGGTTCCTCGTCTCCCTCCTCTTTCTTGGGTTTCTGGTGCCTGAGGTATTCACTGAGCACTCGGTCAGTTGGGGCCATCTTCCCAATGTATTCTTGGAGCATATATATATATATATATATATATATATATATACAGTGGGGCAAAAAAGTATTTAGTCAGCCACCGATTGTGCAAGTTCCCCCACCTAAAATGATGACAGAGGTCAGCAATTTGCACCAGAGGTACACTTCAACTGTGAGAGACAGAATGTGAAAAAAAAAATCCATGAATCCACATGGTAGGATTTGTAAAGAATTTATTGGTAAATCAGGGTGGAAAATAAGTATTTGGTCAATAACAAAAATACAACTCAATACTTTGTAACATAACCTTTGTTGGCAATAACAGAGGTCAAACGTTTACTATAGGTCTTTACCAGGTTTGCACACACAGTAGCTGGTATTTTGGCCCATTCCTCCATGCAGATCTTCTCGAGAGCAGTGATGTTTTGGGGCTGTCGCCGAGCAACACGGACTTTCAACTCCCGCCACAGATTTTCTATGGGGTTGAGGTCTGGAGACTGGCTAGGCCACTCCAGGACTTTCAAATGCTTCTTACGGAGCCACTCCTTTGTTGCCCGGGCGGTGTGTTTTGGATCATTGTCATGTTGGAAGACCCAGCCTCGTTTCATCTTCAAAGTTCTCACTGATGGAAGGAGGTTTTGGCTCAAAATCTCACGATACATGGCCCCATTCATTCTGTCCTTAACACGGATCAGTCGTCCTGTCCCCTTGGCAGAAAAACAGCCCCATAGCATGATGTTTCCACCCCCATGCTTCACAGTAGGTATGGTGTTCTTGGGATGCAACTCAGTATTCTTCTTCCTCCAAATACGACGAGTTGAGTTTATACCAAAAAGTTCTACTTTGGTTTCATCTGACCACATGACATTCTCCCAATCCTCTGCTGTATCATCCATGTGCTCTGTGGCAAACTTCAGACGGGCCTGGACATGCACTGGCTTCAGCAGCGGAACACGTCTGGCACTGCGGGATTTGATTCCCTGCCGTTGTAGTGTGTTACTGATGGTGACCTTTGTTACTTTGGTCCCAGCTCTCTGCAGGTCATTCACCAGGTCCCCCCGTGTGGTTCTGGGATCTTTGCTCACCGTTCTCATGATCATTTTGACCCCACGGGATGAGATCTTGCGTGGAGCCCCAGATCGAGGGAGATTATCAGTGGTCTTGTATGTCTTCCATTTTCTGATGATTGCTCCCACAGTTGATTTTTTCACACCAAGCTGCTTGCCTATTGTAGATTCACTCTTCCCAGTCTGGTGCAGGTCTACAATACTTTTCCTGGTGTCCTTCGAAAGCTCTTTGGTCTTGGCCATGGCGGAGTTTGGAGTCTGACTGTTTGAGGCTGTGGACAGGTGTCTTTTATACAGATGATGAGTTCAAACAGGTGCCATTCATACAGGTAACGAGTGGGGGACAGAAAAGCTTCTTACAGAAGACGTTACAGGTCTGTGAGAGCCAGAGATTGTCCTTGTTTGAGGTGACCAAATACTTATTTTCCACCCTGATTTACCAATAAATTCTTTACAAATCCTACCATGTGGATTCATGGATTTTTTTTTCACATTCTGTCTCTCACAGTTGAAGTGTACCTCTGGTGCACCTCTGACCTCTGTCATCATTTTAAGTGGGGGAACTTGCACAATCGGTGGCTGACTAAATACTTTTTTGCCCCACTGTATATATATACTGTACCATCGGCAGATAGAGGAGGTGGCTGATATCCAGAAATCCTACCAGTGGCTGGACAAAGCTGGACTGAAAGACAGCACAGAGGCACTAATCATGGCAGCACAAGAACAAGCTCTGAGCACAAGATCCATAGAGGCTGGGGTCTATCACACCAGGCAAGACCCCAGGTGCAGGCTGTGTAAAGATGCCCCAGAGACAATCCAGCACATAACAGCAGGGTGCAAGATGCTAGCAGGCAAGGCATACATGGAACGCCATAACCAAGTGGCCGGCATAGTGTACAGGAACATCTGTGCGGAGTATAACCTGGAAGTCCCGAGGTCAAAATGGGAGATGCCCCCAAGGGTGGTGGAGAATGACCGAGCTAAGATCCTGTGGGACTTCCAGATACAGACGGACAAAATGGTGGTGGCTAACCAACCGGACATAGTGGTGGTAGACAAACAGAAGAAGACGGCCGTAGTGATCGATGTAGCGGTTCCGAATGACAGCAATATCAGGAAGAAGGAACACGAGAAGCTGGAGAAATACCAAGGGCTCAGAGAAGAGCTCGCAAGGATGTGGAGGGTGAAGGTAACGGTGGTCCCCGTGGTAATCGGAGCACTACGTGCGGTGACTCCCAAGCTAGGCGAGTGGCTCCAGCAGATCCCGGAGATCTCTGTCCAGAAGAGCGCAGTCCTGGGAACAGCTAAGATACTGCGCAGGACCCTCAAGCTCCCAGGCCTCTGGTAGAGGACCCGAGCTGGAAGGATAAACCGTCCGCAGGGGGTATATATATTATATATATATATATATAAACCCCCTGCGGACGGTTTATCCTTCCATATAGATATAGATATATATATATATATATATATATATATATATATATATATATATACAGACAACAAAGTAAAGCTAGTTTTCAGCTACGAGCCGACACGAACCCGACGTATCAGCCAGAGGTCCTTTACTACGGTTCAGAGCCGCGGACCTGTTTTATATACGCGCCGAATAGTTTCTACACGAGATCGCTGCAAAAAGTGCAGCCTTACCTAATGTCCACCTACTGTTACTCATTTATATGGGGGGCGAGCGTGGCTCAAGAGTTGGGAGTTCGCCTTGTAATCGGAAGGTTGCCGGTTCGAGCCCCGGCTTGGACAGTCTCGGTCGTTGTGTCCTTGGGCAAGACACTTCACCCGTTGCCTACTGGTGGTGGTCAGAGGGCCCGGTGGCGCCAGTGTCCGGCAGCCTCGCCTCTGTCAGTGCGCCCCAGGGTGGCTGTGGCTACAATGTAGCTGCCATCACACGTGTGTGTGTGTGTGTGTGTGTGTGTGTGTGTGTGTGTGTGTGTGTGTGTGTGTGTGTGTGTGTGTGTGTGTGTGTGTATATATATGACTGGATGTGTAAAGTGCTTTGGGGTCCTTAGGGACTAGTAAAGCGCTATATAAATACAGACCATTTATATTATGATTTGAATCTAGCTGGTGTTGGTGTGGGGAGTAGCCTTCAGTAATAGTAATAAATCACATTCATGTAGCTGTAAAAAGCATGATCATATATTAAGTAATCCAAAGTATTCAGAATAGTTACTCTCATTGAGTAACGTAACGAAATACGTTACAGAATACATTTTGGGGCATGTAATCTGTAATCTGTAGTGGAATACATTTTCATAGTAACCTTTCCAACACTGCTGATACTCCTCTTCCTCCTCTTCCTCCTGCTGATCCAGGTGCAGTTTCTGTGACATTTGCTCAGTGACACCTTGTGTGCATCACAGAGAGAATAACTTTGAGTAAACGACACTGCTCAAACTGCACTGACACGCTCTTTGTTAATATAGTCAACATTTTAAGGATTAAACAAAAGAAAGAATGATTTCATTCATATCCTGCAAACAGAGAGTGTTTAGTCACAATGCAACCTTGACTCCAACAGATGAACCCGCGCAGCTGTTTAGTTTCACTTGTTTTATTATTGAAGTCATTGGGAGGCTTCATACAGAACACAGGGAATAAAACAGATTTGTTAACACAACGAGAAGGCGACAGAGCACAGACCCGTCTCCATTTACTGCGGGGCCACAGTGCACCTGAGGACCCTCACAGAGAGTGAACACCGGGGGGCGCTGCTGAGCTTTAAAGTGGGGCTGCTGCTAAACGAGCTTCTAAGCAGGACCTGTGCCTGATTACATTTCACTGTGATCTGATCTGAAACACTAAAATGTTTTTTGGATCATTTTGTCCTTGAAAATGTTTTTGTTCTTATTTATTTTTCAAATTTGAGGCACACAGTGATGGAAAAACCAGGGAGTGACGTGTGGGCTGCGTTTCTGGCCTGTGTCTCGCTCATATCCATCAGATCTGACTGAGCCGAGCACTTACTGGTACCGGTAATCTTTCTAAGAGGGTTTTGAGTTATTTTTTTATCTTGTGTGTCACGAGTCACGAGGGCCTCTAGTTTGAGACTTCTGATCTCTCAGAGCATCTGCATGTGAAACCAGAACTGTCTAACTGGACCCAGCCGTGATATAATTTGTGTGAACTGAGCCTTTAAATATGGAGGAAGACGCCCCGCTTTAAAATACTGTCGAAAAGGAGGAACCTGTACAATCTGCAGTAACATACTGATAACTGACTCTATACAAATCTTCTAACAGGAGCCCGAGCTCCCCGTTTCAATGTGTGCGTTCACACATGTAACACACTGAGCATGTGTGTTTAGCAGTTCATCATCATCATCATCATCAGCCTCTCTCTCGCTCATCCTCGGGACGGAGGCCGGAAGGCTGCCGGTCTCAGCTTCATCTCAGTGAACGGGACAGAAAAGTCTTTTCCTTTCCAGGCGGTCCAGATCACACCCTGAACACACACACACACACACACACACACACACACACACACACACACACACGCACACACGCACACACACACACACACACGCACACACACACACACACACACACACACACACACACACACGCACACGCACACGCACACACGCACACACACACACACACGTTTGTTTTTATACTTCAACCAGCTCCATTTCAAAGTTGTAGCAGGTCCTTGAAAATAAGTAAAATCCGTCCGAGCGACTCGATGACGTTACCTGGTGTTTGGTGTTGATGCCGTAGAGGCCGTTGAGGTTTGCCTCGTGGCAGTTCTTGTACCACCAGCCTCCTCGATAAGACATGGCGCAGCGGGTGATGAAGGGCGCCAGGTCCCGGTCTTTGGTGGAAAAGATCCGGTGGTTGTGGTAACTGAGAGAGTCACCTGAAAGGATAGCACGGTAGGAAGTTTCCTTATTAACAAATATAATTTTATTTACTTAAATGATTCATTATCTCCGGATCCTTGATCTTTATTTAGATGACTTAATTCAACTGTTTGTGAATTTTAGTCTTTGTGGAAATAAAACCTCAAACTCGTTTCCCACAACAGGAGAAAATAAGAAACTGTAACCAGGAAGTGCGATCGAAAAGGTTTGTGTTGGGCACAAGTGCAGTTGGCATGGACGTGCGTGAGAAGCAGCAGCCAGCTATGAGTCAGGCTGACCTCTGATGATACACGACCGTCCAGCAGGTTTCAGTCTGAAGTGTCCCAGACCAAGGAGGCCAGGAGTGCAGGCAGGGGCATGCTTTTAGGGGCCTTGCCCCCCCAGTCTGGACATTACAGTAGGACAGAGGTGACCTTGGTGTGATGGCTTTTTCTGACTGAATGAGACCCAGGCAGATCAGGATGTTCAGAGCAAACATCTGAACCTGAATCGAGCTCGGCGGTGCTGAAAACCTTTGATCACCTCTTCCAGGTTCCCGTGTTACCTGCGGTGCCGCTGTATCCTCCCACAGTCAGTTTGTAGTTCCTCTTGGCCACCTCGAACGTCGAGTACTGAGCGAACACCGACTCGTCGCCGTCTCGCAGGTCGACCCGCAGGCTCATCCTGCTCATCGCTGTGAGGTTGTGGATACTCGTGAGTCCTGAAGGGGCGAGTTTATCGGGTTTTATTACAGGAAACAAAATAAACAACAGAAAAATGAGAAAAGGCTGGGATGAGAATGTCTGTCATTCCAGTTAAACTGGCGCTGTGCTCAAATCTGCTGCTTTAACTGCACTCTGTGGAAGCTGCATCTGCCATCCGTGTTTCCAAATATGTTTCCTCACCACACGGAACCTGGTCCTGTGCAGATTTGTACTCAGATATTAAAAAGCATCTCTCACCGAGCCAAAACTCTCCATTCACGTCCCCGAATCCTTCCACGTACTCGTTCCAGCGTCTGAAGAAATTCTCGGAGCCGTCCTTCCTCCGCTGGAAGACCTGCACACAGGAAGCCAAACACCCGAGACCTGCTCAGTGCAGGCGGCGCTGACACGAGGCTGCCTTTGAAAGCGAGCCGGTCTCCATCGAGTCCCATAAACGTGCTTTATAAATACTGCTGGACTATATTGGAAGTGTTTTATTAGTAATTAAATTGGGCAAACACACGTAAAGTAAAGATGACTCTGTGGTGTGAGTTTATACCGTCCAGCCGCCACCGTCTGTCTCCATGTCGCAGGAAACTGTCACTGGCGTCCCGTGTCTGCCTTGAGGGAAAATCTCTGCCTCGCCTGAAGTCACGATGCCGTTCAGCAGCTCCTGAGAGCAGTCAGTGGGGAACGGGTACCGCAGGGTTCCTGAGGAGGAGCAAGACGGAGGGTGAGGGTGGGAGGAAATCTCGAACAACAACAGCACTGACGGAGGCTCGAAGAAGTACCGGTGGTGAATTCTGTGGAGATGGCGGACGTGTACTGTCCTCCTCCTTCGGCCTGGAGCTGCAGCGTATACGTGGATCCAGGATGGAGTCCAGTCAGGTTGTACTGCGTTAACGAGCCGTCCACAATGACCTCCTGCCGCCGGTACAAACGGAAATCAGGCCTCACGAATGTCTGAGATACGCACGCTATTATAAACATCAGGTCAAAATAAACAGGAACGTCTCAGCCACGTTTTCCTTTGATGGTTGGTGAAAAACAACCATCAAATTCAACATCTGCTGATATTCACGAATAAATAAATAATAAAATGAGTCTGAGGTTCTCTTTAAGGTGGTCGCCATGTACACATCTGGACCTCTTTAAGTTTAAACTCCACAAGGAAGCTCAGTGTTCACACATCTGGGAGTTTTCCCAGGTGTTCACCACCACCAGCGTCTAGACTCCAGGGTCCTGCTAATCCCTATCACTGCTGCGATTCTGGAGTCTGCAATAACAATAACTCGTGTTTTCCTTCTAATGATTGATCTTTATATGACTCTGAAGATTCAGCAGTTCTTTGGCCATCGACACAATCGTCACTCCACACCTGTACAAGTGTAAGCAGTGTGAACGTCCACAGAGTGACCCAAAAGAAGCAGCTGTGCTGGAAACAGTCCAGATGTGCACACGGTGATGACAAGAGGACTCAGCAAATTTAACAAATATGTTATTCGATTTTCTTTGGTCCAGAGAGGCGATGCTAAGCCGGACGATTGTGTTCTCAGAAGTTAAAACACAGAAAAATCATAGGAGGAGGCGTAAAAAGAACATCAGCCTCACTTCCTGTCGTGACTTGAACTCGAGTCACTGACTAATCAGGAAATCATTTTTAAAACTTGCTCACCTTCATTTCTTTGTCTTTAGCCTGATAGCTCAGTCTGTAGTTACCAACGGGCTTTGATGGAGGTTTCCATGACAACGTGGCAGTGCGTGGAGTCACGTTGCTCGCCTGGAGGTCTTGCGGGCCTTCCCCAACTTTCCCCGAGCCTGGAGAGGAACACTGATGAGGTTCGTGTTTGTTCAGGTCACAAACCAAACTACAGACAAAGGTGGTGCTGACCGCCGGTGGTGGTGAAGCTGGTGGTGGCCGGCGAGCTCTCCCGGCTGCCCAGCTGGCTGGTTACAGTGATGGTGTAGGTGGTGGATCCTTCCAGGCCGCTGAGCTGCTGCTCGGCTGCGTTTCCGGACACCGTGACCTTCACCTCTGAACCTACACAAGCAAACTGCCTCATTCAAAACGATGATCAGACTGGACGCTTTAGTCAGACACGTAGGAGTAGCAACGAGGAGCCGTGGGTGAATTTAAGACACGCAAGAGAAACTGACATGATGCAGACATGATGAGTTTGCATTAACAGTGAGATGAGACAGCCTGCTCACCTGTGCCCGCGCCGTACACGATGGAATACTTATCAACGGCTGCCAGCGCTGGACGCCACAATAACAAGGCGGTGGAGTCGGTGACGTTTACGGCACCCAGGTGTGTCGGCGGGTCGGGCACTGAGAGACACATAAAGGTAATAATAGTTACGAAAAGAATCATGACCTCCCAAAACAACCTCCCATCATGACCTCCCGCTCCACAATTATAACAGCAACATTTCAGCTATATCGGTTCAACTTGAAGTTTAGTGCAGTAAACATCACGGCCACGGTGAAGAAAGTAAAATGCCAGTTAACCAACTAACGATTAAAATAAATCTGTATTGTAATGCTGAAGTTTTTACTCTATATTCATGATTTAAAAGCCTAAAAGTAAAAGTGAAATGAATACTTCTATAATTCTCCTGAAGTTTCTCTCTCAGTTTTCCACTCCAGAGGACACACGCCCCAGTCTGATAATCACCAAATACATACAACAACAACAACAACAACAACAATCTTTATTTATAGAGCACATTTAAAAACCAACGGCATGCCAAAGTGCTTAACATAAAACAAATTAACACAAGTATAATTTCATAAAAACAAAAAATAAAAGTGTAAAATTATGTTCACAGGAAAAAGCCACCAATAGAAAAGTATAACTATAGCACAATATAACTATGCCATCAAAACACAATGGCGATATGACATGCACAGCGCAAATAAAAGCATGATAGGAAAATTAATAGAATAAATCACTGCAAACAAGGCCAGCATTTAACCGGTAGAAAAAGCAAGATTAAACAAATACGCTTTAAGCCGTGATTTAAAAGATTGAATAGAGTCAGACGCCCAGATGCCAATCGGAAGGTTGTTCCACAACTCTGGTGCAGCCAGGGCAAACGCTCGATCACCTCTAATCTTCAGCCGAGATCTAGGCTGCACCAACAGTAACTGTGAGGATGATCTTAAAGCCCTAGCAGGAACATATAAGCTTAAGAGTTCCTTAAGATAGCTCGGTGCTGTGTTATTAGTGATTTTAAAAGTAAACAGCAGAATTTTAAATTGGATATTTCACAGGCAACCAGTGCAAATCAGCCAGGACGGGAGTAATGTGGGCAAACTTCCTAGTTTTGGTTAGAATGCGTGCAGCAGCATTTTGGACTGTCTGTAATCTATGAAGGAGGGCAGAGCAGAGACCAAAATAGAGTGAATGGCAGTAATCCAGTCTCGAAGTTACAAAGGCATGGATGAGCTTTTCCAGGTCTTCATGCGGGATATACTGCCTGGCCTTAGAAATAAGGCGGAGTTGGTAAAAACTGGATCTAACGACAGCAGACACTTGTTTATCAAGTTTAAAAGAGCTGTCAAGTAACACGCCCAGATTCCTAACAGTGTCGGAAAAGGAACTAGTGAGAAAACCAAAAGCATCACGAAGTTTGGCACGGAGAACGTTACTGCCAAAGACCACAATTTCAGTTTTCTTATCATTGAGGATAAGAGTATTTGCCAGGAGCCATTGCCTGACCTCACTGAAGTTTGTAGACTGATCACCAGTGAAATATGCAAAGATGAGAAAAAGCATCCAGTTTCCCCGTGAGACTCTGTGTTTAGGATGGGAATCATCTGAACTGCCTTCTCTGCTCTTTGAAATAACACAGACGACTGGAATAAATCCAGCACGAGTCTCCTCAGACGAAGCATAAAAACCGTGCAGCTCATTTCCAGGTCAGCACCTGCTGCAAACACTACCAAGCTACCAGTTCTCATATAGAAGCAAAAACATGTAAAATTAATTGTTTTTAGTTCTTCAGTGTAAAAAAAAGCACAAAAAATGGAAAACATGAAACTGTTTAAAGAAACCATGTGTGGATTCAATTATGAACTTTTACAACAGTGTGTCATCTCAGGCTGAGATAAACAGTGAACAACAGCGCGTGACTCACGCGTCATGACAAAGTCTTTCACTGGATCGCTCTCGTCCAGTCCGAGGGTGGAGATGACGGTGACCTCGTAAGAAGAACCAGGTGAGAGCTTGGATAAACCCACGGTGGAGTCCTTTGAGTCCAGAGACACCGACACCGGCTCGCCTGCATGCACAAACACAGGATTAGTTATTTATTCATGTAATCCTAATAGACGTTTGCATGTAATAAAAAGTCATAAATTATTCAATATTTTTTATTTTCCATAAAGTCTTGCACCAAATCATCAGTCGCCTCAAAGTGCTTTAAATTATACGGCAAGGATCTAACAATCACACAGAGAAAACAATGTTATTGAACTGAACCAAACCTCTGATGGAACAGATGTCTTTACTCATCAGCTGTGACCTCGCTCCCTGATCTAGAAACTGGACATGACCTTTGCTTATGTCAGGGGTGGGCAATCTCAGTCCACGAGGGCCGGTGTCCTGCAGGTTTAGATCTCACCTTGGGTCAACACACCTGAATCACATGATTAGTTCGTTACCAGGCCTCTGGAGAACTTCAGGACATGTTGAGGAGCTAATTTAGCCACTTAAATCAGCTGTGCCCAGTAGCACTCACCCCCATCATCACTAAGTGCTTAGAGCAGCTGGTCCTAGCACACTTCAAATCCTGTCTCCCCCCCACCCTGGACCCCCACCAATTCGCATACCGCCGGAACAGGAGCACAGAGGATGCAGTCTCCATTGCACTGCACTCTGTCCTCTCACACCTGGACAACAACAACACCTACGCCAGAATGCTGTTTATAGACTTCAGTTCAGCATTCAATACAATCCACCCCTCACAACTCATCAGGAAACTGACAGACCTGGGTATCAGTTCCCTCATCTGCAAATGGTTACTGGACTTCCTGACCAACCGGCCCCAACATGTCCGGCTGGATAACCACTGCTCATCTACAATCATGATGAACACCGGTGTACCACAAGGCTGTGTGATGAGCCCTTTCCTCTACTCCCTCTTCACCCACGACTGCAGACCTGCTGATGGTTCCAACACCATCATTAAGTTTGCAGATGACACCACGGTGATTGGCCTCATCAGTGACAACGATGAGGCCGCCTACAGGGAGGAGGTGGATCGTCTGGCTGAGTGGTGCGACAGAAACAACCTGCTGCTTAACACCGAGAAGACCAAGGAGCTCATCGTGGACTACAGGAGGAATGCTGACCCACATCCACCCATCCACATTAAGGGGACGGCTGTGGAGCGTGTGAGCAGCTTCAAGTTCCTGGGAGTCCACATCTCCGAGGATCTCACCTGGACGACCAACTGCTCCAAGCTGGTCAAGAAGGCTCACCAGCGCCTCTTCTTCTTGAGGACTCTGAGGAAGAACCACCTGTCCTCAGACATCCTGGTGAACTTCTATCGCTGCACCATCGAGAGCATCCTGACCAACTGTATAACAGTCTGGTACGGGAACTGCTCTGCCTCGGACCGGAAGGCGTTGCAGAGGGTCGTGAAAACTGCCCAGCGCATCGCCGGAGCACCACTTCCTGCCATAAAAGACATCTACAGGAAGCGGTGTCTGAAAAGGGCTGGGAAAATCATCAAAGACCCCAGTCACCCATCACATGGACTCTTCACCCTCCTGCCCTCTGGGAGGCGCCACAGGAGCCTCCGGACTAAGACCACCAGGTACCGGAACAGCTTCTTCCCCACAGCTGTCAGACTCCTGAACTCTGCCTCCTGACATCTGACCCACGTTAACTCATGGACTGAACATACACACACCCACAATGGACAACTGTACCCTCAAACACAATAATAACATGGACTGAACCACCACTCACAACCACTAGCACTTTATATAGCCTCTGTAGAAACTATCTACACCCTCACTTATCTTAACTGCACTACTGTATAGCTCTGTGTAAATAATCATTCTGTACATACGATAATTTTTAATCCTACAACTGTTTACAACTTGCATAGTTCCCATTTCTGTATAGCTGTATATCCCAGATTCTGTAAAGTTATTTATTTCATATTCTGTATAGTTTTTCATATTTATATCCTGTTCATATCCTGTACATAGCTTGTACTCACTACAGCCTGTACATACTTATAGTTATAGAATATTCACAACATACTTCATACCGTGTACATTATAACATACCATAATAGACCCATTTCTGTAATATACTCACATATCTATATTATTGCTAATATATATTGTAATATATCTATATCACTAAAGCACTTCTGGATGGATGCAAACTGCATTTCGTTGCCCTGTACCTGTGCATGTGCAATGACAATAAAGTTGAATTCTATTCTATTCTATTCTATTCTGTGATGGATCAGGGACACATCTAAAACCTGCAGGGACACCGGCCCTCGAGGCCTGGAGTTGCCCACCCCTGGCTTACGTAAATATTCACTAGCCAATAAGAAATGAAGCACAATAGGAATCCAGGCTCTCACCATCCTCTGCATGGGTATATGTGACTTTGAAACCGCTGACGGGACTCTTTGGTTTGGTCCACGACACCGTCACAGAGTTTTCCGTCACCTTACTGAAGACTATGTTAGAGGGAGGCTCGGGTCCTAGAGGGCAGATCGAATATAACGAGAGAGGGGGGGGTAAACGAAAGGCAGGAAGGGAAGTGGAGGGAAAAACATCAATAAAAGACAAAAACAAGCAGCAGAAATACAAAAATTCCACAAAGAGAAAGAAAAAATAATAACTGGGTTTGTGAAAAACACTGAAGTAGAGTGAAAAGAGTCAGGAGTGAAAACAGTGTGCACAGTATTATTTATTCATCCACACATTTGCTATTAGTGCTTCAATGGGTTTCTGTGTATATATGTACAATGCAAACATATATACAGTATACAAATCATATACAGACATATAAAGTAACAATTAAATGCAGATGGCTCCTGGGCAAAGGAGGGAGTGACGACATTTTAACACAGTAGTTAGCTGCTCGGTCTCACCTGAAAATAAAAGGCATGGCAGGAATAAAGGACGTTAAAACAAAGGAAGATAAAGAGACCACTTGACAAGATTATTCAGAGTGAATGAACACAAACACATTAAGATATTAATCTAACTTTTTATAGCTGGAAGTGAGAACCAGGAAACGATCGGGAGAAGTTAAGATAATTTTCCAAAACTCAGAAGGACTCGGTATCACTCAATAAATGATATTTCTTTTATTTTTTGCACGACTTAAGCTGTATATTACAAAAGAGAATTAGACTATTCTTTGTATTAAAATCTATGCTGTACTGTATAATACTGATAGTACGCATCAGTACTGTACAGCGCTGATTTACCTTAAAATGTTCACATTTACAGATTTACTAATTGATTTACTTTTTCGTTTTTAAATGCGAAAAGTTAAAACAGACCGAAAGTAGAGAGACCAGCCGTGGTCTTACCCTGGTTTGGGAGAGAGGTGAAGAGGTGTCAGTGAAGATGGCTGTTAGCTTACCCTGAGTGAGAAAAAACCAGAGTAGCAGTGAATGAAGAGAGTTACGTTGTTACTGATGTCTTTGATGTCAACTTAGTTGATCAGCTAGTTTGTATCAACAGTGCATCTGAGTGGAGTTCCCCTAGGCTCAATCCTGGGTCCTCTTCTGTTAATCATGCCCAACAGAGTTGGAATGCTGTTTGGTTTCTTGTACATAAAATCTTCCCTAATGTTTGTACAAAGAGAAAAAAACAAAGATTCTCCCTCTTTTTTTGTTTTTTGTAAAGAATTGGTAAATTTTCTGCATGTGGCAGTCTGGTAAGTTCTGCAGGTTGTTTGTTAACCAAGTTAGGCCAGTACAAACTAAGAAGACTATCTGGCAAACAGCTTTGTAAACCCACATCTGAGGGTTGACATCAAATAACTGGATGTGTCTTTTATGGTGGAGAGGGTGTTGATCTTTATAATGTCATGAATATGAGTATTTGTCATATTCACGAGAGCTGAAGAATGACTGCACAAATATAATATGAATAGAAAACACAAGTTCATGAGAGTTTTTTCAAAATCAGTATGTGTTAATAAGAAAGTGAGTTATACTGAACCACTGTTTGAATGACAAACACAAAGTGATGAATGTGGAACTGTAAATCACAAGCTTACAGTCTTCAAGAGCGCCACAGCATCCGAGCTCTTGAAACCACGATGGAGGAAGCTTTTAGTGGGTAAGCACACATTTCTAGTCACATTTAAGACGAGTGATTATTAGTTATTAGCACTTGAATGAACAGTCTTCTGAATGATCCAAGACTGACGCGGGTACAAGATCAAAAAGAAAGAATCGAGCCGTCTGAACGAGACTTGACAACACTGACAGTAATTTTGAAGCTTTACACAGTAGAAATTCATCTTTTCTACTGTTACAATAGCTTGTACCTGTACTGATGACAAGCTTGTGCAGTCTTGACAGAACGCCAGGGCCCTTTCCCAGTAAGGTCAAGGTGTACTCGGGCTGTGGGGGCAGATCCTCAAACCGGAAGGACCGAGCTGAACCAGGAAGGACTTTTTTGAAGGTTTTTTCATTTTCTGTTGGTTTTACTATTGTTTTGCTTTGGATTTTTGGGGCATGAGTTACAAGGCTTCCAGGCACTCTGTTCTCATCTTCACTACCTACATTTTGGGAAATGGTGTCCCTGTTAGGCGTGTGATTCGTCTTCTCTTCTTCCCTGCCTCCCTCTTTGCCAGAATCGTGGTAGTCATGCTCTTTTTCTTTTGGCTCTGTGTCCTCCTCTTTTCCGTCTTTTCTCGTCACAACAAAGTTTTTGTACTTGCCTTCAGGTGAGTCCCATATCAATGTGACTCCATCAGTGGTCTGGTTTATGACTTCCACAAAGTCCAAAGGTTCCCTTAAGACTCCAGACGAAGAAAGATCTGACGTAGGATTTGTCTGCTTAGTTTTACTTTCAAATGTTTGTGGGTTCTCACTCTTTTGGCTACCCCCGGTGTAGTGTCTAATGTGGGTGGGATGCTGTGCTGGAACAGTTTTTGCTGCTGGTTGTCTTATTGGAAATGTGACTGAGCTGGAGGGTCTTGAATTTGGGAAATGTTGTTTTGTTGGTCTGCCTTGAATTCCAGTCCCATTGCTTTTGCCAGGATTTCCGCTGTCATTTATTTCTTGCAGCTTTGAATCAGTACTGCTAATATCTTCTTCTCTCCCCACAGCTCTGTCTCCAGTTCCTAGATTCTCAGTCTGTGATCGGACATTGGTTTGACCATCTATCTGGTCAGCTGCAGTATCTTGATCTCCTTCTCTAATTGGAATTTGATGCATAGGGTGTTGGACATTCTGGCGAGTTAATATGCTTCCCAGTTGGCCAGTTTGATTTCCAGTGCTGCCTGCATTTACCTCTTTGTTTGGGAAATACTTGTGAGGAGGATAGTTATACGGACGTTGAGGTATTCTTTGGGTTCCGTTTTTTAAACGTCTTTCATATAGTTGGCGAGAGATATAGCCCAGTTTGGTATTTTGGCGATGGAAGGAAGACATTCCTCTTCCTCTGAGTGTCCGATTAAACTCAGTGGCTGAACTTGTGGAGGAGATTCTTGTCCCATGTCCACCATCATCTGCATCTCTCACAGGCCCTTTGGAAAGAGAAGGGGCTGACGTAGCTGTTAACTCATTGGAAACCACCTGCTCTTTGCGTGGCTCTGTTTCACGGTTCAAAGGTCCAATACGACGAGTTTGATTCTGAAAAGGTCCCCCTTTTAGAAAACGGCAATTCTTGAATGGAGGACAGCGATTTGCTATCCTTTGTCTTTCTATCTGCACATTTTTTTGGTTTTGCTCGACTCCAGATAAGTCAGGTGTACCTGTCCCATTTTTTAACCCAGTTGTATCCTTCACTGGTACACTTGCCTTAACAGAGGATGATTCCTCAGAAGCAGATATAGATGGTAAAGACAACAGTTCGCTCGTCGGCCGATGTTTGTTCTCTGCTGTCATTTCAGGACTAAGGTTCATACGATGGGAGGGGAGACGGAATCTAGAATTTATATGGGTTTTGTTCTGAAAAGGTCCAAACTTTGCGTATGGACGGCGTCTGATTCCATATTTAGGAGTGTTCATTCGAGGTACCCCACCTTCTGGTGGTGGTTTTCTATCTGTGGGTGGTGCAGGCGCAGAGCTACTTCTGCTGCTTTCACTTAGCTCATTGCTTGAATGTGAATCAAATTTATCAGATCTGGAAGGGGATGATGATGTTGTTGGAAGGGACAATGATGTGGATGGAGGTGGTGACAGTAAAGATGAAGGTGATGATGGAATTAAAGACATTTGCGAGGACGATGAACCTGCCGTTGATCCATCGGAACCAGGTGAAGGTGGGGATGGTGAGGATAAAGGTGATGGTGGTGCAGCTGGAGAGTGTGATGTCCTTGAGGCTGATGAATGCGATGATGATTGTGACTCTGAGGATGTTGAAGAGGATGAGAGCGATGGCAGTGGCTTCAGTCCTCTCAAAATCTGTTTCCCAATTATGTCTGCATTGACTGAGAGGTTTGATGATTTTGACAGGTGAACAGAAAATGTTGAGATGTTCATACTATCAAAAGTGTCTTTCAAAAGTTTATGTAAAGGATCTGGTTTATAATCAAGGTCTGGCTCTGCAGAAGGTGGTGAACCCAGGTCTGGACTTTTCTCTACCATGCCAGCATGCTCAGCCCCCCTACACCCATTGCCTCTATCTTTTAAGGGGAGTCTCGAATGTGTCACTTTGATTTTATTTAGACATTTCTTCTCTTGGCTTTGAACGGTCCCACTTGGTTCTGGAGAAACGAGACCAGTGTCATTTCCATGGCCTGCAATGCCAACATGCGGTGGCCCTTTTAAGTCAGCAGCAGCCGCTGATTCCTCTGAGCTACTTTGGATCTTTGTTTCTGAATCTGTTCCAGGCAGCATAGCTTTATTTTTATCAACTCTGTCAGAGCTGGATGCCTCTATACTTGGGTCTGACACAGACTGTCTGATGATGGGGACACCTGGTTTAAGGTTTTTACTCTCCAAGACTTTTTTAAAAGGTCTCCTTCTGGGCACAACTCTTGTTGCATTGAAATGCGGTTGCTTCCTTGGCAATATGGACTTTCCGATGGGTTTGGGGCTGGTGCCATTTATTGAAAACATTTTATTGACCAGAGGTTTAGTTCTGGCAATTATTATAGGAGTTGAGGAGTCTTTGTCCTTGCTCACATCTTCTGTCTTCTCACGCTGGTCAAATATTTGTCCCTCGGCTGATGGGTTCAAGTCTTGGTGTATGCTGCTAACATCTTGGTTAGGTGCTAGGGAGGCCTGGGTAGTCAAAGTGGACTCTTTGGAAATATATGGAGGGGAAGCTGCCGTGGGAAATCTTGGTAATATCGTTCCTAAGGATGTAAAGGCAGTGAGTATTTGGATTAAGTGTTAAGATCATCATAATATGCCCTTAATACTGAAGAAGTCACACCTAACAAAGAAAGAAAAGCAGGGTTGTTAATCATTATTGTTCCTTTAAGGAAACCTGATTTACAACAGTTTGCCAGCCCGAGCAAACCATAACTCAGGTCAGCAGCATCCATGTTCAACCTGCAAGGAGAATATCATAATGTCATTATTGTTTTCCTCGGACAAACCTGTTCGTATCACTGTTGAGAAAGAAACATAACGACTGAGGTTAGAGGCAGATAAAAGTACGTTTTCTTCTTGAGGGTCGGGGGAGGACATCGACTAACGTGTTGTATATGACGTAATTCATTGAATGATGAGGTGTCGGGACACAAAGGCTCACTTAGCCGAACAAAAGCTGTTATGGCCCGAGCATAGCCTGGAAAAGAAATGTTTGAACAACAACGACCTGGATTCCTTCCTTTTATTTCTCTCTCTTATCAAATTTCTAACTTTTTACTCAGCAGTGAGTCATTTTAGAATAACTTTGGGGTGATAACTAACCAGAGGCTCTTATTAAAGCCAGACGTAACAAGTCCTGCTGTGAAGCCTCAAGGTGAGGATTTTATCTTGGGTTTTTGTGAACATACAGCACAACAGAAACGGTGAACACTCGTATGGATGCACAGAGTCATACGTGGTCATGCATGTTCTGCTTTAGCTTGTTTTTTGACTGTAAAGTTGCAAACATCATACTGCACTTTATTAAATTAATCAATCAGGCCAAAGCATCATTTTCTGAGACTTTAACCGGACTTATTTTTCTTAAACTATAGGAGAATCCTCCGTCTGTCCTTTAGAAAGCTGTGAGGTAGCTCTGCATTTACTGTTCAGACCAGAAACGTTATATACACTTCATAGTTCTAACTAACATTGTTGACCACAAATTTCATATAAAATGCTTAACAAGCAGTAACCTTCAGTTCCTCTAACATCCATGTGAACTGGACCTCTCGACTGCTGTTGGAGACTCGTGGAGCATTTTTAATGCAATTATCTGATAAATATCTTTGGCTTACTGTCAAACTGTACTAAACACTGGAATTGCTATTAAATGTAGTAGTCGACCAGCCAAGAATTTAATTCCTTTTACGTTATTTTTTAGCTCCTTAGCACTAATTAGCAAGTATCTGACAGTTTATGGATGCAGCTTACAAACAAAGCTAGTGAGCATTAGCTAAATATGATTTAAATGAGGTCACTTCTGACATATAAAGTTGAGGCTATCTCCATTATTTACATACAGTCAATGGCGTGAGCTAAGAAAAATGATTTCCAGGACGTTAACCTGAGTGGAAGCAAGCTGTGATTGGCTCTACTCACCGGGGACTACCTGGGTGGTCTCTGGAGCGCTCCTGCTCGTGTCTTTCTCTGCCACGAGCAGGATGTCATACAAACGCCCGGCCTCCAGCCGCTGGATCTGTGCGGAGTTCTGGTCAGCTGGGATGGTCATTTCTTGACTCCTCCCCGCTCCATCATTTGGCGTTACGGTGAGATGGTACCTGTCAATCTCCCCCACTGTCGGCTCCCATTGGACTACCGCAGACGTGGACGACATCTTGACAACTCTGAGGTTGGTGGGACCAGAAATGACTGAAGGTGAAGAAAACAGAGAAGAAAGTCCAGCACACGCCAGGTGAATGTTTTCTTCCAGGTAACATGAAGCCGTCTACCTGTTCCTGTTTACCCCCCTGACTTGGATCGATACACTTCCACTCGGTTTTTGCCTTTTCTAAACTCCTGCAGACTGAATCGTCCTCTTCATCGCCAGCCACCGGGCAGCTTCTCTGCAGCTGCCACAGATTACATCTCCCACAGGAAGGGCAGCGAGAGTGAAATGTTTAAGCTCCCGCTGCCAGTTTGGTGATTTGAGCTGCTCTCAAGTGCCAGTATGCTAGTCAGAGGCTCCTTTCTCTAACTTCAGGCTCTTTCATAAAGCAGGACCAGCGCACAGTTACTTTCTGGTTCAGGTATCAGAGTTGAAGAACATGCCTTTTGTCAGGACATCTGCACACAGTGTGTATTTGGGGAATACTTGGTGTTCTCAGAATGGTTACAACACAAAACTTGACATGATAAAACGTAGCTACACCCATCACACCTCCTAAACACCATCACGGTATAACTCCTGTAAACCAGCCAAAGAACTAACACTATTAAGGAGGATAATTCAGTGCAGAGTGACTAAGATGTACACAAGTTATTCAAAGTCAGTGTAGTCTGTATGACTTTCCTCATTTTTAATGGTTATCTAAGTGTTAAAATCATTTCCATCTGCGGAGGGTGGAAGCGATTGTGGCTTCGATTTAGTAAGAAGAGAAAAGCAGAGGAGTTTCTGACAAAGAAGGAAACAAAACCTCACGTGTCATGAATTCAGCGGTGCTCTCGCGTCCTCTCCTGCCGTCGATCTCTCCCACGATGCCGACTCTGTAATCCTGACCGGCCGCCAGGCCCGTCTGGGTGTAGGTGGTCAGGCCGCCTTCCACCTGCGCAGTTATCTGCTGGTCGCTCTCCTTCTGTCGGGTCAGGACAGACAGAGAATAGAATAGAATAGAATAGAATAGAATTCAACTTTATTGTCATTGCACATGCACAGGTACAGGGCAACGAAATGCAGTTTGCATCCATCCAGAAGTGCTTTAGTGATATAGATATATTACAATATATATTAGCAATAATATAGATATGTGAGTATATTACAGAAATGGGTCTATTATGGTATGTTATAATGTACATGGTATGAAGTATGTTGTGAATATTCTATAACTATAAGTATGTACAGGTTGTAGTGAGTACAAGCTATGTACAGAATATGAACAGGATATAAATATGAAAAACTATACAGAATATGAAATAAATAACTTTACAGAAATCTGAGATATACAGCTATACAGAAATGGGAACTATGCAAGTTGTAAACAGTTGTAGGATTAAAGATTATCGAATGTACAGAATGATTATTTACACAGAGCTATACAGTAGTGCAGTTAAGATAAGTGAGGGTGTAGATAGTTTCTACAGAGGCTATATAAAGTGCTAGTGGTTGTGAGTGGTGGTTCAGTCCATGTTATTATTGTGTTTGAGGGTACAGTTGTCCATTGTGGGTGTGTGTATGTTCAGTCCATGAGTTTAACGTGGGTCAGATGTCAGGAGGCAGAGTTCAGGAGTCTGACAGCTGTGGGGAAGAAGCTGTTCCGGTACCTGGTGGTCTTAGTCCGGAGGCTCCTGTAGCGCCTCCCAGAGGGCAGGAGGGTGAAGAGTCCATGTGATGGGTGACTGGGGTCTTTGATGATTTTCCCAGCCCTTTTCAGACACCGCTTCCTGTAGATGTCTTTTATGGCAGGAAGTGGTGCTCCGGCGATGCGCTGGGCAGTTTTCACGACCCTCTGCAACGCCTTCCGGTCCGAGGCAGAGCAGTTCCCGTACCAGACTGTTATACAGTTGGTCAGGATGCTCTCGATGGTGCAGCGATAGAAGTTCACCAGGATGTCTGAGGACAGGTGGTTCTTCCTCAGAGTCCTCAAGAAGAAGAGGCACTGGTGAGCCTTCTTGACCAGCTTGGAGCAGTTGGTCGTCCAGGTGAGATCCTCGGAGATGTGGACTCCCAGGAACTTGAAGCTGCTCACACGCTCCACAGCCGTCCCCTTAATGTGGATGGGTGGATGTGGGTCAGCATTCCTCCTGTAGTCCACGATGAGCTCCTTGGTCTTCTCGGTGTTAAGCAGCAGGTTGTTTCTGTCGCACCACTCAGCCAGACGATCCACCTCCTCCCTGTAGGCGGCCTCATCGTTGTCACTGATGAGGCCAATCACCGTGGTGTCATCTGCAAACTTAATGATGGTGTTGGAACCATCAGCAGGTCTGCAGTCGTGGGTGAAGAGGGAGTAGAGGAAAGGGCTCATCACACAGCCTTGTGGTACACCGGTGTTCATTGTGATGGTAGATGAGCAGTGGTTATCCAGCCGGACATGTTGGGGGCGGTTGGTCAGGAAGTCCAGTAACCATTTGCAGATGAGGGAACTGATACCCAGGTCTGTCAGTTTCCTGATGAGTTGTGAGGGGTGGATTGTATTGAATGCTGAACTGAAGTCTATAAACAGCATTCTGGCGTAGGTGTTGTTGTTGTCCAGGTGTGAGAGGACAGAGTCCATTGCGATGGAGACTGCATCCTCTGTGCTCCTGTTCCGGCGGTATGCGAATTGGTGGGGGTCCAGGGTGGGGGGGAGACAGGATTTGAAGTGTGCTAGGACCAGTCGCTCTAAGCACTTAGTGATGATGGGGGTGAGTGCTACTGGGCGGTAGTCATTGAGGCAAGATGGGTTGGAGTTTTTGGGTATCGGGACGATGGAGGTGGATTTGAAGCAGGCCGGTACCACAGCGTGGGCCAAGGACAGATTGAATATGTCTGTGAGCACTCCTGCAAGCTCCCCAGAACACGCTCTGAGAACACGCCCGGGGATGCCATCAGGGCCTGCAGCCTTGTGGACATTGATCCTGCTCAGCACCGCTCCTACATCGGTGGGGGAGAGAGTCATAGGTTGGTGGTCTGGCGTCATGTCTGCTTTGGTTGTGGGGTTCCCTCGCTCAAAACGAGCATAAAAGTTGTTGAGCTCGTTGAGGAAGGAGACATCAGAGGATGCGGGGGAGGGTTTGGTGGTCCTGTAGTCTGTGATGGTCTGGAGTCCTTGCCACATGCGTCGGGGGTTGGAGTTGGAGAAGTGTTCTTCTACCTTCTTTTTGTAATGGTGTTTGGCTTTTTTGATGCCCTTCTTTAGATTAGCCCTGGCTGTACTGTAGGCGTGTGCATCTCCTGACCTAAAGGCAGTGTTGCGGGCCTTCAGGAGGAGACGAACATCCCGGTTCATCCAAGGCTTCTGGTTGGGGTACATGGTGATCCGTTTCTGGGTGGTGACACTGTCTGTCAGAACTTCCACAGACACGCTGTCAGATGCTTCAGGTGTTCATCTGTCATCCCCGTCTTCCTGCAGACACAAAGCTTTGCATCATAAGATGGATTCTGGGCATCTCCAGCCTTTGAAATCGTTGTTGTATTTGATCAAGTTAGTGTCGTATCACTCGTCAGAGGTCTGCTGCACATGGAAGGCAGGGAGGTACCCGAAAAGACCCAAACAATGCAAGTGGAAATAATCTTCTTTTGAAAATAGTGGCCTGACTGAAGCAAGGTCAGCATGACAACAAAGGCACAAAAGAACCACGATGCTGTGTTTCAGTTATTGCTGTAGGTGGACGCCGTGCGGCATCTGGCCCACGTAACATTTGGCTGTAACTGAACCCAACGTGGCTTAAGCTATTGGAGTGATGATGATGATGATGATGGTGAGAGAGAGCCTGAGTGGAAACACCACTCTGTCTGTGGGGCTTCCACAATCAAACTTTACTGAAGCAAATGAGAAACAATCAGGAAGCAAATCAGTGACATCGCCGCACGTCTGGAAACGGCTGTTTCTGGTTTGTGCAGCATGTCAGGCTCATTCAGGGGAAACTAACCCTGAGGTTAACCCCTAACCTAAACTAGTGGGAGGACACAACGTAAAGTCTCTGATGTACGAAAAACACAGAAGGAAACACATCGCTTTGATCAGCGGCGTCCGTCACCTGGGGACATATCTGCCCCTCCCACTCGTGTGCAACCTTATCATAGTAGGAAAATGAGGTTTATGATTTGGAGTTACAGGAAATGAAGGAATTCAAAGAGATTCATGAATATTTCCTCTCTGAGGGTCGTTTCTCATCCAACCGTCTCTGCTTTGATGTGTGCGAGTGCACAGGAGCTGCTTCTCTTCAGGTTTGTTGTTGTTTGTTGTTGTTTGTATTGTTTTCATGTGTTTGTAACTCTGTCCTGAATGTTGTTGATAAACCCTGTGACAGACCTGCCCCGCCTCTCGCCCTGTGCTGGGCAGCGACTGAATGAACCTGCAGAGTCAGCGTGAGGCCTGGACTTCATTCATGAAAGTCAGACCATAGATCATAACATTAACACCATGTTGTCGTAAATACGAGTTGTAACTGGGGGCAGATAAAGTTCCTGCTTCTGCTTCACCTTCTTGGCTGAAGCTCGTCTAACAAAGACGCCTCAGTCTCAGCGGCTGCAGGATTTCAGACGACCCTTTGAAAACCTTTAGGTGACGTCAGCGCAGTGATAAGAAATGCATCAGTCCACAGCTCAGAGGGAAAATACCCCAATTAAGACGTCATTCCCATAATTTCCGTCTTTCATCTTTTCTAATTCAGGCTCTTAAGAGAGAATCGAGTCTCTTTGTGTGTCGGAGCCTCAAACTGCCCTCCAATTAAAGGCTGCTGCACTTTTAATGCCTGGATACTGTGTTGTAAAGTAAATGGACCACAGCTGGTTGCCATGCTGGTCTCTATGGTGACTTCCTGGCGACGGAGCTCCAGAGGTCATTCTGGATCTGCGTCCTCGATCCAAACACGACATCATTAACATGGAGGCTCCAACAAGTTCACGGTACGCCTAAAACCAGGCCGAGGCTGCGTGGCGTCGCCACGGTGACTAAACCAGCCGCACAGCGACTCTGCTTCTTTACGATTTCATGGTTTTCTCCGATATAAAAATACATCTTTGCGCCGTCCTCTTCTCCGCCTGGGTGTGTCGACGAAGCCTGGACTTTGTTCCCGTTTAAGTCCCAGAATAAGAAAAACCTCAGCATCGGTCAGGAAGCAGAATCAGCAGGTCAAGCGAGCTCGTGTTAAACCCTGTGCGGCTTTTTTAAAGTAACCGTCAGAAATATTTTCCTCATATATTAAAACGTTCTTCCAGGCAGGAAGTTCAGCCTGGTGGATCAGCTGATTTGAGTGTGAACAGCGTGTTTATGTTTTCTACTCTAAAAACAATCCTTGTTTCTATTTTTCTAACATGTTTGATAAAGTAAAACTGCTCTCATGAAGTCACACATGTCTGCACTGACACACACACACACACACACACACACACACACACACACACACACACACACACACACACTCACACACTCACACACACACACACACACACACACACACACACACACACACACACACACACACTCTGGAGCTGTGGGCTGGGGAGTTCCTGTGAAACTGAGTGACCTGCTTGAACTGATTTATTCAGTTTCAGTTTCTATGATTCATCCACAGAAACCTAAAACACCAGAAGCTGCATTTTGGCTCTAGTTGAACTTCATGCAGATAAGCAGTCAGAGATCCCAGCTGGGCAGCGCTGCTGGTTGTACTGGTGACTGACTCATACTTCCCTTGGACGTGAGGTCACTTGGTCGTCTTGGACTCACAGACTGTTTTATCCGCACAAACAACATAAAAGACACCGTTAAAGCTTCAAGCCCACATTCAGTAAATATGAGTTTGCTTTATTTACTGAGTATGTCTCATATCGAAACTGTAAAAAACACGTTGAGCGACGAGTTAAAGGGGGAACTTGAAGCTTTGCACCCCGGCCTGGATTCGTGTCCATCTTCAGCACTAACACTGGTTGGTTAGC